TGCACGATGCAGTGATATATGGATCGGACTACACGCCGCTGCGATATTGGATTGGGCTGCATGCCGCTTCGATATAGCGCTTGGGCTGTAGGAGCCTTTCCGGAGCCTGTACACCCTCAGTGAGCGCAGGTACCTACTGAGTGTGAGTGCTGAGTGATGAGTGTTGAGTCATGAGTGACTGTGAGGCTTGCCCAAGGGGCTATTTATGAGTGATACTTTGCTTGAGGGGTTTGTTCATGAAATCACTATTTTCACTCTATTTTTTATATTGAGCCTCTATTGAAATTGCTGAAAATGTTTTTATATGATTTTCATTGAAACTCGAGTCCTCGAGATATTTGGATTTGGATACTGACTTGGTCTTTGTTGTTTTCACTGAGACTCTACGTTTTGAACTTCATGTGATTTTACTGCTCGTCACTGCACTCAGCCTTTATTTATAGTTGTAACTTACTGAGTTGGTTTACTCACGTTACTCCCTGCACCTTGTGTGCAGATCCAGGTGCCAGGAGATCCGAGTGAGTGTTGATTCTTCCTCAGTTTATCCCAGAGCTTAGCAAGGTAGTTGCACGACGACCGCAACCTTGCTTTCTACCTCCTATCTTCTAGTTGTTCATTTGATTAGACTTCTCTAGTCATTTGAGTAGACTGTATCAGATTTGTATTCTAGATGCTCATGACTAGTGACATCGAGGTCAGGCCGTTGATTTTTATGTTTGTTTATTTTCACTTATTTTGAAGTGTTTAATGAAAGATTTATGCTGAAAAGGATTAGTAAATGAATTATTGAAAAGAATTATTTTATGCTTTGAATTACGAATCGGCTAGCCTAGTACTGCGATAGGCGACATTACGACCGGGACGATTAGGGTGGTGACATAAAGGATCCAATTTCATTTGCTGAAGCATTTTTCGTATTATATTATCTTTTGAGTAACTAGCTTAGCTGGCCTTTTGAATTTCTTTCTTCACCTCTATTATTGTTTCGAGAAAGTATTTGAAAATGATATTAATAATTAATCAACAAGTTTCTTATCATGTTTCTTTAAACTAGCATGAACTAACAACACTCAATCAATCAATATTAATTTTGTTACTCTAGCTTGTTATTTAAGTATTCAACTAGGTATAACAATCATTGAATCTGTTTCAAACATTACGCAATTAAATAGAATTTAATACCGTAGTCATTTCTTCTATAGAAAGTGACTGATAACAATTTTCTATAAATAAAATGTCCTTAATAATTAATCATTGATACGTGCCAGGTAACAATATTAATAATTCAAAATAGCATAATATAGCTTCTTCTTTTATTCCATTTGAGTATCGTACGGGATTCTAATTGTTCCCAATAATATATATAATATAATATAATATATCCCGGAATTTATTGCTTAAATTAATGATACTTTCGTCTATTTAATCTCAACCTTGATCATTCCATATGTTCAAATTTTCAAAAAATGGCCACTTTGAGCCGAATTTTACAATCTGCATGCACTATAGTTTTAGGATATGGGAACCAAATTTCAAGTCAAGAAACTGAGAAAATACAAAAGATTAAGATGAAAAAAGAAGATAATTATGGTGAAATTTGTGCTTCATCTTCATTGTCAGAAGGATTTCAGATGCCACTTCATTATCCACGTTATAAAAAGGGAGATTATGAGAAGATGGAAGAATGGAAATTAGACATTCTTCTCAAGCAATATGGTTTCTTGAATTTTAATGGGAATTTGGAAGAGAAAAGAACATTTGCTATGGGTGCATTTTTATGGCCTGATCAACTTTGAATATGCCTTTCTTGGTCGAACCAACGATTTCCGACAAGTCTTTCTCTAAAATATCGCTTCTCTAGCTATCTATCATATGGAAAAATTAATGTATATGTAAACTTCTACGAGCGGAGCAACTTTTTTTTTCTCTTTTATCTTTTATTAGATTGAAAAAATATGGCATCGTAGATTATAAGGAGAATCGTCGTGGGGAAGAAAGTTACTTTTGTATTAATATTTGCATTGTAGTAATGAAGTAATGAACTTTATAAATTAAGGATTCGAGGTACTTTGTTTATACAATCAGACCTCTTTATACCAGTATCACTACATATCTGTCATTTAGTGTAAAAGCTAACCTCTTATGAAACCAATTTGTAGGTTATATAATATATGTTCTTCGTAACAGTATTTTGTTATAACAGTCAAAAAATTCTGAACAAATAAAACTATTGTAGAGTAGTTTGACTGTATATGAATATTACAAAATATATGTAAAAAGGAAATCTTCATTCTTGAAGCATCAAGACCGCAAAAGTTATAATTCTCATGAAATTTGTCCACTTTTATATTATGAGGAGTTTAGTTGTAAGTGATTCAAAATATAATACAAACATTCAATAAAGCAATACCAAATTCTATAACTTGATTATTTCATTCACTCTCTCAAAAGTTATAATGTTTGTTAATAATAACAAAGAAACTCTTTGAACTGTTGCATTTCGATTAATTAGATCTATTGCCGAGTGACGATCATGAGTCAACATTGTGAAGATAATTTGACATAAAACAAAACTTTCTAAAAAATACATAAATTTCCTAAAATAAACCAAAACTTAATCCAAGAGCCATATTTGACCTTGGGCCTTGGGCCGTTTAATGAGTACACTTCCAACACACACTTCAAAGAGGAAGTGCACCGTTAGTTATTAATAAACTTTAGTCTTTAGTCTTTAATCGTTACTTTAATAAACTTTTACCTGCTCGGACAAAAATACTCTTCTACTCATAAAGTTTAGGACCAAGTGTCCTTAACTTATGAACTTGTTACTGTAAGTTGAGGATTAGGTGTCCTTAATTTATGAGCTTGTAAGTTTAAGTTTAGGACCACCTGTCCTTAACTTTTGAACTTGTAACTCTAAGTTCAAGACTACATGTCCTTAACTTTTGAACTTCGAATTTCAGGACTATCTGTCCTTAATTTTTGTGCTTGTAACTCTAAGTTAAGGGCTACATGTCCTTAATTTCTGTACTTGTAACTCTAAGGACCAAGTATCCTTAATTTTTGAACTTCCAACTCTAAGTTCAGGACCAAATGTCTTAACTTATGAGCTTGTTACTGTAAAGTCCTTAATTTATGAGCTTGTAAGTCTAAGATAAGGACTATCTTTCCTTTGTTTTTGACCTTGCAACTCTAAGTTCAGGACTACATATTCTTATTTTTTGAACTTAGAACTGTAAGTTCAAGACTACCTCTGAATTCAGTATAAATATTTAATACTCTCCTCTCAGATATGGTTCCAAATTGTCACTATTGATTTCTCAAATTGTATGAGTTTTCTGCATTCTTTTCTTTGTTTAACGATCTCATGCTTCTTCCATGCCTCACTTCTTAGTTTTCATCTGAATTTTTTCATATTGATTATTGTTTATATTTGGCCATCTATGGGTTCATGTGAAGGCTCTCGCCATTTAGGGTTTGGGAAGGAAAATAGATAAAAGAAAGGGTAACACCGTCTTTTTATATTAATTTTAATGGACTAGTGGCTATTTTTCTCAGCATTAAAAATATTGAATAAAAAGTAAATATCACTTTAAAAAGTGACTACCCCGCGCAATTTTTACCACTTCAAAGGGGTATTATAACTATTAATCCGCGCAAGAAAGTGTTTATATTTGGTAGCCAAAAAAATATATAAAATTTGTATATAACATACATAATATATATAAATATAAAAATATATAAATTTTATATATTTTTTCGACTATTATTTTTACAACAGCTATACAATGTTATTTTTCCCTCTTCTTCAAAATGCTATAACAAACAGCCTCCTAAGATGGTCCAAGCCCTATGATATGAACCAGAAATTTTTTTGAAAAAAAATTAACATAAATAATCGCTTATTCAGCCGCTTAAACTAAAATTGTCGCGGAATAATATATATATATATATATATATATATATATATATATATATATATATATATAGAGAGAGAGAGAGAGAGAGAGAGAGAGAGAGACTGAATTTGAATTAAATGATAATTTTGAATTTATAGATAAAATTTTTAAAATTTAAATTAAAATGAAAGAGAAGTTTATCTTTTATTATCATGTTATCATACTTAATTCGATTAATGATCATATGCAATCATGTTAGGAATTTTTTTTTTAATTATTTAAATACTACTTCGCCTCAGGTAAAAAAGAAGAAAAAACTACTTCATATAACTATAAAACTCTTTTATATTTAAAACCCGATAATTATAGTGCTTTAAAACCCTATAGCAGGATTTGAATAAAGCAAATTTTTTTTAAAATAAATGTAATAAATGGGGCACACGTCTATATTTATCCAGATAACATAAAGGAGTTTAAAAATTGAATACAAGCTCACTTACATATATAATGAAGTAAGCCTACATGCTGGAGAAAGAAACATCACAAAAATCCGTCAATACTAAAAAAAATATTTTTTTCTTTTTGAAAAGTGTTTGTTTGAAGAGTCAATTTGTATAAATGGACATCAAACAAATAACAAAACTTTGGCGATAAAATTGTTATCATTAATTTCAATTAACACCTTCTAGGAATTGAAGGGTATAAGATGAAACCTCTTCATTTAGCTGCAGTCAAGGTAATATTGCAAGGGTATAGTATTTTTTTCATTGAAGAACTGTAGTTTCTAATCAAGATTATGTCAAAGGTTTTTTTCTCGAATTCAACAAGAGGGATATTAGTTTCTAATTGATAGTTTCTATAGCGATTTTCAAATGTAACAAAAAGTATATTTTAAAAAAAATTGGTATGGCGTGAAATATATATTTTTTAAAATGTAAACAAATTATTCAAAACGAGATTATTTTTTAAATTATAATATTATTTTAAAAATGAAAAGATAGGATATTTTTGAATTTAGTAGAGAGTTTTTAAAATTATTATAAGAGAAGTCATATCGTAGCTAAAATAAAGAAACTAAAATCTTATGAAATATTTGCATAAATATCCAGCCAGATTTATTATTTACTTTTTATAGCTATTATACATAAATGAAATTTCGATCACATACGATTATACACATATTATATATGAATCATATATATAAATTATACATCCTTCAATTTTTTAAATTAAGTATTTGGGCGAGCACATATTTTGGTTGATTAGATACAGCCAAAAGAAATATATGAAAGAATTTCAACCAAAGACTAAAAATATAAACAAAGTTCTTATGTAGACAATTTCTATTAAAACTCATCCTTTTATAACGAAATAAATTATTTTTAAAAAATAAATAAAGAAAGGCATAAAAATAAGATAAAAGGAAATATATATATCTCTCTATATATATATATATATAAATTTATGAAAAATGTAAAAACCATAAATAAGAGATGACAACAAAAATTTTCTTCTATTTCATCTTTGTTGAGTATAAAAAATTTGGAACCTAATCTTATCAATTTCAAAAAAAAAATTCAACTCAAATACACATATTATAAGATAAGGATACCTTAGAATATATTTTTTTTAATTTACATCGTGTGTCGTTTTTAAAACATTACTATTACTAACAAAATGATATGATATTCAAATTTGAATTTAAATGCAAATTGAGTAGTTTGCGTTGAGGTTAATCCAAGTATGGTCTCGAAAAAAAAACTACTTGGTAATGTTAAGACAATATATGTAATGTTATATAATAACAATCAACTAATTTTAGATTTAATAATTCAAGAACGAAAAACTTGTATACGTAGGGTATTCAGAATTCAAAATATGTGACTAGAGACATCGATAAACTTAAAATGGAGTCATTGGCCATGCACTTGGAAACCCCCTATTTGCCAAAAGAAATGTTGGCGTACTTCTACACTGGATATATCGTATAACCCTTTTAGAGTATTGATGAAACATGATAGAACATTCATATTATCTTGCCGGTCATACTGAAATAAAGTTTCACCGACTAAGAATCATTTAAATTTGTAGATAGCTGATTAAAGTGGATTTTAGGTTATGAATAATATCTTCACTTGCATCACTATATATATAATAATTATTGAAATATATATAAAGTTTTAGAAATTGAAATTTTAAATTAGAAATATTTTTTTTGAAAGATAACAGCATACCGAATAAGAGTTCAAGTTGTAATAAATGAATCACGTCATAAACAAAGAATCGTTCATATTGTGTCAACATTTATGCTTTGCCATAAATACGAGTTATTTATTTCTCTTTGTGGCTATTTTAGGTTCCAATGACACAAATGAGAATGGTGCAAAAATAAAATTATCACTACGTGATTTGAGAAAATGTTCATACTTTTCATGTAGTGTGTCCTAATTATTATCTAACAATTATCTATAAGGTTTTAATTTTAATGTTATTTACATATAATTCAAATAGCTCAGATATTAAATATGGTTAATGTCAAATATCAAAATGGAGTCATACTAGAAAAAGAAAATTCACTGGCTAAAGAATTTTGTAAATTTTTAGATAGCCGACTAAAATGAGTTTTGAATTAAGAATAATGTTTTCACTTATTTATTATAAAAATAAGTATTACTGAAAAAAAAAATTTAGAAACTGAAATTTTAAAATAAAAATATTTTTGGAAGATATCAATACACCAAATAAGAGTTCTAGTAGTAGTAAAATAGTCGAGTCGTTTCAAAAGAGTCCTTCATAGTCTAAACCTTTGATTGTTTTGTGATAAATATGAATTATTATTTTGATTGCTGACTATTTTTAAGATCTATGACACCGGCAAGAATGTTACCAAAAGAGAAAATAGAATTATAACTAAGAGATTTCAGAAAAATTTAATCTTTTTTCATGTAGTGTTTCTTAATTAATATTTAATAATTATTTTTATTTATCAAGAAGGTTTAAACTTTAAGATTATTTATATATAATTCAAATAACTCGAATATTTGACATGGTTAGTATTTGTGCATTTGCGTGAATACTAATACTAATATATATGTAATCCTTATATAATATGTATAATTTAAATATATCAGCTAGAAAAAATAAATAAATAA